CTTTTATCTGTGAAGAAACAGAATTTGTTAATTAAACTTTAAAAGGTGGGGGCTGCTGCCTTTGTCTGGTGTTTGCACTTTTGGAACCTGGTTAGGTCAGAACGGGTGTGTTGTGTTCCAAATGGAGATCCCTCTGTATTGAAAACTCCCACAAGATCTTCACCGTCTCATTTTCAACAAATTTTTCCATTTATGTTCCCATGACTTTTCAGATACAGTTAAGGCGTATTTTTATATATTGACCAGGGGATTAATTTATCAACTTGATCATGTCTAGCTTTGTAGCCAGTTTGCGTGATTTTGCTGCACTCACATATTAAATGTAAAACAGTTTCAACTTTGTCATTGCAAAGTCAGCAGTTTGGATTGTCAGTGGATTTTTATATCTTTGCTTTCATGGCATTAGTTTGTAGTGCTTGTTCTTGAGCAGCAAATATTAAACCTTCCATTTCTTTCTTGATGGATCCTCTCTTAAGCTATACCCATGTCAAGCTGTCATCACACTTTCCTTCAATGTTTTTCAAGTGCTGTCCATGCAAAGCTTTGGTTCTCCATCCATTTAATCTGTCATCCAGCTGCTTGTTCTTATATTTCTGCCTTAATTTCTATTGTTTTTATAATATTTTCCATTTTCACAGCTCACAGCAATTTTTCTGTACTTTGGTTCATATAATAATTCAAACTTCATTTTTCTTCCTCTACACTTTGATGAATATGCAATAACCTTCTGCCCCCTATTCTTTTTGGCAGGTTTAACCTGGTGATGTCACTTTGTGGATGTAAAGCGTGGTACATATTCAAAAGTTCATGCATTTTCCAGTTCAAGTTTTCTAGTTCAGCCACAGTCCAGTTGATGATTCCAGCTGGGTAGCGTATCACTGGAACTGCCCATGTATTAATGGCTTTAATTATGTTTCCAGCATTCAGCTTTGATTTTAGTATTTTGCAGACCCTCCTGATGAATTCCTTTTGCATTGACTATTTGACTTTTCCATTCAAGATATTATCTGCTTCCAATATGTCTAAGTATTTGTAACCGTCATCCTTTGCTAATGCTTTCATGATGCTTCCATTGCAGAGCTCTATTCCTCCTAATTTTTCCATTTTTCCTTACTGCATGGATAGTATAGCACATTTTTCAAGTCCAAAGTTCATTCTGATGTCATTGTTGAACAGTCAAACTGTGTTATTATTATTATTACTATTATTGTTGTTGTTATCATTATTATTATTTCCTTCAAACTTATATTGATTACTGGCAACTGCCTGAAAAAGTCCCTGCATTTTTGGCAGGTTTCAGTGGTAGTTTGCCATTACTTCCTGCCTAGAACTAAGAGAGAATGACTGGCCCAAAATTATCCATCTGGCTTTGTACCTAAGATTGGACTAGAATTTGCAGTCTCCTGGTTTCTAGCCTGATTCCTTAACCACTATACCAAACTCGCTTCTCATATAAATAATTCAAACCTCAAAATAGAATAAGTATATTCTATTTCTAGTATAGAATAAGCATTAGAAAATCCAATAATTATTAATGGCCATAGTATTTTCCTGTTTGTCATCATATCAAGGAAAAACCTTTTATTCTTGTTGTTAGTTGCAAAGTCATGTTTGACCCATTGCGACCCTATGGACAATGTTCCCCAATGTTCCTGTCCTCTAACATCTTCAGGAGTCTATTTAAGCTCACACCTACTGCTTCAGTGACTCCATCCAGCCACCTCATTCTCTGTCGTCCCCTTCTTCTATTGCCCTCAATCTTACCCAGCATTAGGCTTTTCTCCAGTGAGTCCTTCCTTTTCACTAGGTGGCCGAAATATGTGAGTTTCATCTTCAGGATCTGGCCTTCTAAAGAGCAGTCAGGGTTGATTTCCTCTAGGACTGACCAGTTTGATCACCTTGCAGTCCAAGGGACTTTCAGGAGTCTTCTCCAGCACCTTAATTCAAAGGCCTCAATTTTTTGGTGCTCAACCTTTCTTATAGTCCAACTTTCACAGCCATACATTACAACTGGGAAAACCATAGCCTTAATTATACACACTTTTGTTGGCATTTTTGTTCTTTGCTTTTTAGTATGCTGTCTAGATTTGCCATAGCTTTCCTCCCCAGGAACAAGCGTCTTTTAATTTATTGGCTGCAATCCCCATCTGTGGTGACCTTGGAGTCCAGGAAAATAAAACCTGTCACTACCTCCATTTTTTCCCCATTTTTTTGCCAGGAATTGAGAGGGCTGGATGCCATGATCTTAATTTTTTTAATGTTGAGTTTCAAGCCAACTTTTGCACTCCTTCTTCACCTGCATCATAAGGCTCTTTAGTTCCTCTTCACTTTCTGCCATTAGAGTGATATCATCTGCATATCTGAGGTTGTTGATATTTCTCCCAGCAATCTTAATTCCAACTTTTGATTCATCTACCCCTGCCTTTCTCATGACGTGCTCTGCATGTAAGTTAAATTGGCAGGGTGACAGTATATAGCCTTGCCAGACTTCTTTCCTAATTTTGAACCATCCAAAATAATTATTTGAACCATCCAAATAAAATGATTACAGAGTGATTGTTAGCTTGCATGCTGCTTTAGAAACAATAGTTAATTTTAATCACTAGCTGCAAACAGGGTTCCCACCATATAACACCAATAGATTTCATGACTACCATCAGATTTTAATTAAAAAAATTGTCTCTGCTGTAAATTTTAATATGTTTCAATATTAAAATAGAAAGCATAAGTTAGAAAATAAAACAATTTTCTAAAAATTGTCAGTTTACAGCAAACAACCACTTTTTGTATGATTGCAAAAAACAAACAAAAAACAACCAGCCAAACAAACAAAAACAGTAAAAATAGATCTGGGTTGCAAAATTTTTGATGATAGAGGTGAACAAAAAAAATTAAGAAAAAAAAAAGACCTTTGCTATTATCCAGTAGTTGCCTATATTTTTGCGGCCTCAAACTGATGATCCGAACTAAAAAAGTTGCAATTCTGTTTGTGCTTACTTGAAAGTAAGATCCAGTCTTAAACTTATAATACTTCCTTTTGAACAGACATGTCTGTTGGAAATTGATGAAAATGAATCAGCACTTAGGAGACAGAGCCAAGGACATGGACATATTAAAAGATTTTTCTGTAGAAAAGCTTCAGAATTTGTACGGATATGACATACATTTTCATTTCCAGAGAAGTAATTAAAGAGGAGAAAAATAGGGGCGATGTCTGTTTTAAAAGCATTTATTTCTGTTTTGTCTTACCATTGTTACAAAGATAATAACTCCCAGATGGTTATTTTGTTCTCAAAAATGCTTCTTCAAAATAGTCTATTACAAGTTTAGCATGCTGACACTAAAATAACATTTCTCTTTTTTAAAAGGCAAACATATTTCATATCACTTCATCATGTTCATATGCCTAAAGGGGGATGGACACACACACAGACACACACACACAATCATAAAATTACTGGTTCTTAGTGACATTAGTTTTTTTATTAATATGTAAATAAAGTTTTTACCATTAAATTCATATATACAAATCACACTATTCCTCTTTAGAGTAAGCACTATTATGTAAAGCATGGAAAGAGGGTAAAAAGTAGTAAGCCAAAATGTATAAAAATGAAAAAGTGCATACCATAGCCTTGTTTAGTGACTGTATTTCATTCCTTAATTAGAAGTGAAATGATCACTAAGCAAACAAAGTGAGGAAAAGAGAGAGGCACAACATTTGATCATAAACATTTGTAGAAAATGAAATGATTTATTACTATCAAATATTATTTGTTGTTAACCAGAAGTAGATGTAAATTAAATATATGAAATATTGAAATTATGTATCTTCACACCTTTCTGTCCTTTAATATTACTTTTGGGTTTTTTCATACCCTTTTATTCATATCAATACACTGATTCATACACTGCCTTTGATCTTGAAACTTCTCCCCCTCTGCTTTTTGAGGCTTTTCTCACTTTAATCCAACCATGACTTTCTTGGTTTTTTCTTTTTTACTCCAAATATTCACACACACCCCTTTATATTGCTATTTGAGCTTCATTCATTCTCTGTATAAGACCAAATGACCTCTGAGAATTTTTTTTTCACAGTGATTAGTTGCTTTTATGTTTGGTGCATTTGCATTCAGTCTCATTCAGTATTTTCCTTATCTCTTTTACTTATTTCTTCTATTTTAATTACATTCTCAAGGTAATCCTTGAGTTATGATCATAATGGAACCTGCCTATTAAGGTCAGGAGGGCATTAAGTAAATTGCCTCACTTAACAAGCCCCTATACCTGCTGCCTCCAATGTATTTATTAAATGAATGCATGGGTTTTAAATGAAATATGATATGCCTCAGGAGCAGGGGAGACACTAATGCAGGCACAAGCCCATGCCGGCACAAGCCCTCCAGCCTCCCTAAGCCTTCCCCATTCCCTGAGATACCCCATGCTCCTGACTCTTGGAATCAATGATGAAACTCAAATAATTTAACAACCGGTTCTCTGCCTTAATGACCAGATGAGTAGGTGTTGTAGCTCGAAATAAGGGAGGCTAGACCAGAGCAATAACTAGAACAAGCTTTATTCATCAGAATAAAGGGCTGTCGCGTCTGCATACTAACAAGCAGACATGCCCAGCGAACAGCGGCTGGCTCGACCTAGCAGCCAGCTTTTATAGCTGGCTGTCGAAGGGAGCCAACCAATGGGAGCTGCAAACGCCCCCGCAGTATGGTCGGACCTGGTTGGGGACTTTGGTCAGTCCCAAGGACATAACACCCCTTCCCCACAGATGCGAACATGAATAGTCTTTTAAATAAGTTGGTGGTCTGTGCGGCCACCCGGACCGGCGCAGTTCTGGTGAGTCACTGAGTGGCACAGAGTTCGGAGAATCAGGATTGGCGGGTGCAGGAGAGCGGGCTTGCTCTGGGACCTGATCCGGCGTCTGTGAATAGTCCCTGCCATCGGGTTGGTTTGTTAAACAGTCATTGTCCAATAACCCGGTGGCATCACTGGTCGACAAGGCTGGCGTCTCTGGTGGATGGTCCCGGTCTACCGTCCGTTCCCTCTGCTCGGCCGGTGGTGACTGGCCCCTCAGATGGTCCCCGATCGGACTCTGGTGTGGTAATTGGAGGTTTACTGGAGTCCATGGTTCTGCATTGGCATGACCGCTCTGGCGCTTCCTTATCTGATCCAGATGCCTCCGCCAAACGCGCCCATCCTCCAGCTGCACTTGATACGACCTTGGACTGGTGATGGCCACGATTCTCCCGGGTACCCACAGCGGATCGCCGGCGTAGTTCCTGACAAACACTGGGTCCTGCAACACAAAATCTCTGACCCTACTGTCAGAACCGATGGGTGTGTCGGGGCAATAGTGAGGATGCAGTCTGTCTAACACAGTTCTCAGGCGTCTGCCCATTAGGAGCTCAGCTGGAGACTTGTTTGTAACTGTACAGGGGGTCGTGTGTTGGCTTAAGAGAAAACGGGAGAGTCTAGAATGCCAGTCCTCTTGATTGAATCTGGCCAACGCCTCCTTTGTTGACGAAACAGCTCTCTCTGCCAACCCGTTGCTGGCAGGATGAAAGGGGGCTGTTAGGATGTGCCGGATGCCTAGGTTGGTGACATACCGGCTGAATTCTGTAGACGTAAATTGGGGGCCATTGTCCGAGACTAAGGTGTCTGGCAGCCCGTGTGTTACAAATAAACGGGTCAGGGCTTGGGCAACTGTGCGGGTGATGGTCGTGGGAAGTAGGGCCACATCGATCCACTTGGAATACGAATCCACGACCACCAAGAAGGTCTTGCCGTGCATTGGCCCGGCCAAGTCAATGTGCAGCCGTGACCACGGTGCGTTGGCACTTTCCCACTTGGTTGGGGTGGTGATTGGCGGTGCTGGCCTAGATTCCTGACAGGGTCGGCAAGAGCTTACCCATTTGGCGATCTCGTCATCCATGCCTGGCCACCAGACGTAACTCCGAGCCAACGCTTTCATCCGGACGATACCTGGGTGGCCCTCGTGCAGCGCCCTCAGGACGGATGTGCGAAGGGGGGTTGGAATGATGACTCTGGTCCCCCATAACAGACAGCCCTGTAAACTAGAAAGTTCTTGCTGGCGAGTTTTAAATGGTGTGAATTCGGATGTAAAGTTAGTGACCGGCCACCCCCTCTGTACCCAGTCCAGAACCTGGGCGATTGTTTTGTCTTTTTTGGAGTGAAAGGCGATGTCGCCAGCAGTGACAGGTAGGTTGAGCTCGCTTACATCAAAAATGGCATGGACCGGAGCCGGGTCCTCTACAGGGGCTGGCAGAGGGCAGCGGCTGAGGGCGTCGGCGTGGCTTAGGTTTTTTCCTGGGCGGTGAACGAGTTTGTACGAGTAAGCTGCCAGGAATAAAGTCCACCTTGTCATCCTGGGTGACAAGACTTGGGGTGTTTGTTTGTCCCCCGACAGTAGTCCCAGAAGCGGCTTGTGGTCAGTGATGAGTTCGAATTTGTGACCAAACAGAAATTCGTGGAATTCTTTTACCGCAGCAACTGCGGCTAGGGCCTCTTTATCAATTTGGCTGTAATTACGCTCGGTTGGTGAAAAGGTTCTGGAAAAGAAGGCGATTGGTGCCTCGGAGCCGTTGGGTAGTCTGTGGCTTAAGACAGCCCCAATCCCGAAGGGGGATGCGTCTGCGGTTAAGACTAAAGGGAGGCGCTGGTCGAATTGTATTAGGACAGCGTCCGAGGTGAGCAGCGATTTGACTGCTTTAAAGGCATAGTCCTCTTTGGGTCCCCACTGCCACGGTGTATTTTTGTCTAGAAGTCTGTGTAACGGTTTGGCTACTGACGCTTTGTGGGGTAGGAACGAGGCGTAGAAATTTAATAAGCCTAGGAAAGCCTGTAATTCAGACTTTGTGGAAGGTGTGGGTGCCTCGTGGATTGCTTTGACTTTAGATTCCACCGGGCGGATGCCAGAGGCGTCTATTTTATACCCAAGAAAGTCCACCTGTTTAGTGGCAATGGCACACTTCTCCCTTTTTAGTTTGAGGCCATGCTGCCTGAACTTGTCTAATACCGCTCTGACTCTGTGGAAAAGTTGGGGTCTATCCCTGGCTGAAACTAATATGTCATCAAAATACGGAACTACGCCGGGGAGGCCTTGAAGTATCCATTCCATTAATGACTGAAAAATGCCTGGGGCAACACTAACGCCAAATTGGAGACGCTTGCACCTGAATGCCCCTCTGTGCGTGACAATAGTTTGTAAATTGGCCGTTTGACGGTCAACAGGAAACTGCTGATAAGCCTGTGACATATCCAATTTGGCGAAAATGGTGCCAGGCTCAAATGTGTGAAGTAAGTGCTGGATTACCGGGACTGGGTAAGCGCTGACCTGTAGGTAGCGGTTGATTGTGGTCTTATAATCAGAACAAATTCTTAAACTGCCATCTTTCTTAAGGGGCGTGACAATCGGGGTCTCCCACTTGGCAAAATCCGTGGGCTCAATCACGCCTTGTCTGAGTAATTTGTCCAGTTCTGCATCCAGTTTAGGGCGTAGTGCAAATGGTACTCTACGCTGTTTTAAGCGGACGGGAACTGCTTGGGGGTCCACCGAAAAAGAAATGGGTGTGCCATTGTAACAACCTAATTCGTTGCTGAACACATCAGCGTAGTCTGCAAACAGGGAGTCAATATCAGAAGTTGAGACAGCATGGACTCCTGTTAAGCTAAGGCCGAGATAGGGGAACCAATCCAACCCCAAAAGGCTAGGGAGGGCACCGTCAACAACCACTAAAGGCAGATGGCCTTTAAAGGATTTGAATTTAACGAGGAACTTGCCTTTTCCGAGTACTGGAATATTCTTTCCTTGATAGTCTCTCAAGGTGAGGTGGCTCTTCTGAAGATGGTTCCTAGACAGGCTGGGCCGGATTTTCTTAAGTGTACTCCACGAGATGATCGAGAGCGCTGACCCGGTATCGACCTCCATGTGACAAGGTTTACCTTCTAAATAAATGGAAAGTGTGATTTTATTAGGCGTCAGAAAAGTGTGATTAGCTTGGTAGCACGTATAACAGTTTTCTACTTGCCTTGGTGGCCCCGGAGGAGAGTAAGAGGTCGAAGATTTTTGTGGTGCACTGTGAGTTGCCAGGCAGGCCCTGGCGATGTGACCTTTCTTGTTGCAGTTGTTGCAGGTAGCGTTTCTGAACCTGCAAGACGTCCGGGAGTGGGAACCTCCGCAGGACAGGCATAACAGGATGTGTTTTGGTGCGTTGCTGTTTCCGAGCTTTGCCCCTACCTGTGGTTGTCTAGAAGGTTTGAGGCGATGAACATCTGAGTGTTTGGCAGGGTCGTCCTCACTCACCACTTCCTCGGAGCGAACAGAGGCAGGAACGGGCTTGGGGACGGTACCTTGGATTTCAGCAGCTGACTGGGCCGCTAGTTCTGCAGCTAAGGCTTCTTCGACCGCTTGTGAGAGGTTGAGATCTTTTCTGGCCAGCAAATGCCTTTGTAGCCTTAAGTCTTTGATTCCGCAGACGAGTTGATCGAGTAACATGTTGTCCAAGTAATTATTGAACTCGCAGTGGAGAGCTGCTGTTCTCAGAGTGGCCATGTATTGATTGATGGATTCCCCTTCAGCTTGCTTCCTCATCCGGAAGGCAAAACGTCTCGCGATCTGCGATGGCTTTGGGGAATAATGGTTGGAGAGTGTCTCCAATAGTTCGGCCCATGGGACGTTCTTTATCTCTCGTGGCGCGAACAACGCTGTGGCGGTATCGAAAACTGCTGCCCCACAGTAACTTAGAAAGTATGACTTCTTTCTGTGCTCCGCAGCATCGGCCAGACCGATGGCGTCAATGTAGTGACTGAAGCGGTTCCTGTAAGAGTCCCACTTCTCTTCATCTGGCTTAAATGGCGGGAACGCCGGATTTGAATTCATTTTGGCTTACAGTCTGTTTGGTAGACTGATCAATCTCTCTGGGTATACGAGGCCCTAATTATCAAGGCGGCTGTGGCTGCAGCGCCCTACCTTGCTCAGTGATTACAGCTCTGAGAGGTTCTCTGTGCAACACGCTCCCTGTGAGCGCTTGGCGGCTATGGCTATAGCGCCGTTACTGACAACAATTTGAATTTCGCGCTCAAGCAGCGCGTTGGTGGCTAATGGCTGTAGCGCCGTAACTGACAGTTATTCAAATTGCGCGCTCTCTGGAGAGCTTGGGCGACTGTGGATACAGTGCCAACTTTGCTTATCGGTAGAATTCAAACAGCAGCGGTTTGAATTCTGTGCTCTTTTACGAGCTGAGCGGCTGAGGCTCTCAGCGCTCAACTTTCACTATTGTAGCTTTCTAACCGAGTGGCTACAAACGCTCTACTTTCACTTCAGCAATCAACGACTGACCGAGCTCTCAAAACAGCGCGGCTCCGGCTCAGCGCTTGGTGTGTCTTCAGCTCTGTTTGGATAGTTGCTTCTGGTTAGCCACATCCCATCCTCGTTGCCAATGTTGTAGCTCGAAATAAGGGAGGCTAGACCAGAGCAATAACTAGAACAAGCTTTATTCATCAGAATAAAGGGCTGTCGCGTCTGCATACTAACAAGCAGACATGCCCAGCGAACAGCGGCTGGCTCGACCTAGCAGCCAGCTTTTATAGCCGGCTGTCAAAGGGAGCCAACCAATGGGAGCTGCAAATGCCCCCGCAGTATGGTCGGACCTGGTTGGGGACTTTGGTCAGTCCCAAGGACATAACAGTAGGCATGTCTCAGTGGTCATGTGACTGGGTGGGCATGGCCAACTTGACATCACTCACCTCAAGAACTACCTCGTCTCATTCAGCCTCTCCTCGCCCCTTCCTTCCCAGCCACTCCTTGCCTCACCCAGCCTCTCCTCATCCCTCCCCTTGCAGTCATTCCTCACCTTGCCCAGTTGCTTGCCTCACTGTCTGGTGGTCTGTCTGGTGGTCCACTCACTTGGCCTCCTGGCTGCCCATTCACCCTGCCTCCTGGCCATCTGCTCACCCATTCTCTTGGCCTCCCTGCACCCTTCTTTTTGAGGACTTGCTCTCAATAATCATCTAAGCCAGACACAGGCCAGGAGGACAACCTCGATGAGGTGCAGGAACTGTGGCAGCTCCAGAGACACCCGTGGGAGAAAGAGGAGGAAGGGCAATGGGCCTGATCTGCAGAGAAAGGGAGGGAAGAAGGGCCATCCCCAGCTTAGCTGCCATGCCCACCAGCAGGCTTCTGAAGTGGCTGTGTGGGTAGATGTACAGCGCAAGCAGCAGCTCAAGGATCAGCAGCTCAAGCACAGTGACCAGGCATCAGCTCCTCCTTGCAGAAACTCTAATGATGCACCTGGCTCTTTAGGGCAGAACCACCCTAGGTGCTTTATCACTTGCTTGGAGGGGGGCAGTGGGGCAGTTAGAAGAGTGCCAAGATGCCGAAATGGCCTCAGGAGAGGTTGCATGTGGCAAGGAATGGCTGGGAGGGAAGGGGCGAGGGCTGTTATTCAGCTGGTTCACTGAAGTCCACAAAAAATTAGCTACCAGTTCTGATGAACCAGTGCAAACTAGGTGAATCCCACCACTGCTTAGAATCCTTACATCCCCATCTTTCAAAGATCTCCACAGCTCAAAAAGTTTGTGTCTGGAAGAAAGAGAGGCTGGTCCATAGCTGGGCCACATGGCAGAATTCCAGAAGCAGCTGCTTTTTTTCTGAAATGCTGATTGCTAGTCTTTCCTCCCCCAACATTAGCAGTGTATTGCAGGTAACACTGGGGGAGGAAAGGCTATCATTAGCAAGAAGTCATTGTAGTTTCTGTCCCCGTCTAGTTGCTAGCTTTCTCTTCCCTGGCATTAGATGCCAAACATTAATATGCTAATCCTTGGCTAAGGTCAAGGCTAAGATGAAAGACTTTCTCCTTGTTAGTTGCTACCCTTCCCTCACCCAGCATTAGCACATTAGCATATGGCTACTAATGCTGGGGAAGGGAAGCAACTAGCATGGAGCAATTCTCTTGGTTTTCCTTTTTTCACTGACAAGGATGCATCATCACATGATTGGCAATATTTTATCCTTTCTTAAAGAATAATTTCTCATCTTTAGAATCC